TTCCAGAGACAATAAACAGCAGAAAATGAGATGATTTCAGTCACTCAGCTCTCTGTGATGTTCTCATTCAAAGCAGGTGTGCACAAAGTAAAAGTGGCATTCCAAGCTGCTCATGACTGTGCCCGCCTATGACTGCTCCTCAGTGGGCCCTGGAAGCAGAGGCCACAGCTCAACTGCTTTCTATGCCTTCCCTACCTACCAGCCCTCCCTAGGATGTGTCATATGGGAAAAGTTCAAGAAAGAACACAGCAAATAGAAATCTACCCCCAAATGCAGACGTGCTCACTGGTGGTACATGTGAAAGGCGAATCTAGGCTGATTTTCTTCTGAATGACCATAGAAACCTTGTATATACTGTTGGTTAATAAAAAGAGAGTTGAGAGTTCCTGGCTTTATCTCACAGAAACATCACTAGGAAATTTTATTCTGAGAGGCTGTCTGACTTAAGGAAATAATTTATCTGGATAGAATAATACTCCAAGGCTAGCTTGCACTTCTCCCCTCATAGGCCATGGACCCTGTGCAGATTGCGGTCATTGGAGCTGGTGTGATAGGGCTGTCTACTGCTGTGTGCATTTCCCGGTTGGTCCCCCGATGCTCCATTACCATCATCTCAGACAAGTTTACTCCTGAGACCACCAGTAACGTGGCAGCTGGAATTCTTATTCCTCATGCTTATCCAGGTGAGAGAGGCGTTCAGTTCCTCTGTTGGATAATATAGATGTAGATAGAGTGACATTAGTAGAATTCTCTTCACCAGGAGGGCTGATTGTGCATACATAGTTTTAATATATATTTTTATTGAATTTTTGTGCATTTCATACAATACATCTCAATCATATTTAGACCTCCTCCCGTACCTGCACCCTCCCCATAGCCCTCCCACAAGATTTCATGCATTTTGACATATATGTTAAGGCCTGTCAAGTAAAGTTTGTGTCTCCAGATGTCCCTCAGTGTGAGCTCATCTATTGGTGCCTCGTCAGCCTACTTAGCACCACTCTATGTGCAGTTTTTAACATCCTGTTGATTTATGTTAGGAGAGGCTAAGTTATACCCAAGACAAAAATCAGCTTCCAAGGATCATCAGCTTAGAAGACAAAGGTTTGTATTGCTCATACCATATATCCACTGAGCCTAAGCAAGGATTCTACTTGTCACCCAGCGACCTAAACTGATGGTGCACCCATCACCCTGATTAGCCTCAGTGCCTATGCATGGGTATAAGAGAGTACCTGAGGGTCTTGTCTTCCTTCCTAAACATTCTGGCTTTCAGCACACCTGGTGACGGATCATTGGCAGAGCTGGTCAACTGCTCTCAGGGAGAGGTGGCCAGGAATTTCAATCTGTAGGATTCTCTGGAGATGAGTGACAGGAGTATTTAATGACCATTATGAACAACTGGCAACTGTCTTTCCAGTGACACAAGTGGTGACTAACAAGTCAGAGACTACTTATGATGGGACTAAATTTCTCCTAACCTTTAAGCAAATATAAAAACAGCCAGTTAATATGCATTCATGCCTAAAGATGCACACATTTTTAAGGGGTCCAGTGCGTCCTTTCCATTTGTATTCTTCATGTGAAACAGGAGGAGGACTTTATCATTAAGTAAGAAACAAAATCACTTTGTAGCTAATGAGGGTCACACTCCTGTTCCTCATTTCCATCTCTTTTATTCCTTTTATCTTTAATCAAAGTTATATGTGCATAGTTTAAATAGTCAAATAGTCGATAAGATTGTTTAGCAAAGTCATCAATTTGGAATATGAAATTGTTCTGTTCTTTTGATCTGGAAACTTGGGTTTTTCACACTAAGAAGCTATCTTTGAATTGCTTCCTCCCCTCTGATGTGTCTGTCTTTCTTTGCTGTTTATGGCTTTTATACAGGGCCACCACTTCCTTAACTCCTCCCCCACCCTGATTCTATTTTCTTTCTTTTTAATTTGACTTACCTTCTGGCAGGTTTTCTCAATTTTATCTTTTACTTACTGTTGAATTCTTGTTTCAACTCTAAAATTTTTTAATATTCCAAAGCACTTTTACTTCCTGAATTTTCTTCTGTTTAGCATCCTGTTTATTTATATATTTATTTGGTTGCAATATCTTTGGTGTTTTTGGAAAATACTAATAATAGTTTTACTTTTTTCTTCCCTGAATAGTTTCTATTTTCTTCAAGTTGCTTTTGGTTTGTTTCTTGTTCTCATTTGAAGGTATTCTTCCTTGGTTGTGTGGGATTATGACCTGTCTGCTTGCATTTAGGAATGGGGCCTAAAATAGCAGGCGGCTGTTTCTGACAGCTTGCATGGTGCTTGCTGCCTGTGAGCCTCTCTTCGAGTGCAGAGCAGTGAGTTGGGGAAGCTCTGATGTCATTATGCTTAGGTCTTTCTTTTTGGGTAGGTCATGTTTCCCAAGAAGAGGCTTCCAGTCTCCTGACTGAAAGATGAAAGCCTAGGTGGCTATTGCAGATTTCCTCACGGGTCCAGCCCACGAGGGACTGCAAGGAACGAGGGTTCTGGCCAAGGTGGGGGTGAGGGGTGCAGAATCAACACACAGACTCCAGGAGTCAGGTGAGAGCAGGCACTAGGCGAGGTGCTGCAGACTCATTTATTGCTGGGTAGTGCAAGCTTTATATACCTCTCCCCCTGCCCCCAGTGTCCCATAAGTTGGTATGTTGCTTCCTGATAGATCCCCTCATCTGGGCAGGATCCCCTCATCTGGGCAGATTGTAGGTTGGCCTTTTTGCGAAGTGCGGGCTGTGCTCTCAAAGCAGAAGCTGTGTTCTTTTAGTGCAGACTGTGCTTAATCCTGGCACTTCCTCTCCTACATGTCCATCCCTTTTTATTACAGAAAGGTCAGTGGGAGCTAAGGTTCTTTGCCTCAACATAGTTGACCCCACCTCAGAGGACACCCAGCTTGATGGACTGTGCCTGTCTTAGGTCATCCTGACCATCAGGATCTTACCCATCACTGACTGCCAGCCCTCAAAGGGTATGACCTCTGGCATGACCATGTGAGGGAGGAGGAGGGCAAGAAATTACACAGCCTCTTCTTGGATGTCAGCAAGCCAGACCTGCTGGACCTCAGGGGGATTTTATAGAGACAAGGTGTCTCCAGGCTGCCAGGCAGGAAGCCTGTGGGTGTCCGTAAAGGGGAGCATATCTCCAGGAGTGAGGGGAGGCATTGTTCCCATGGAATAGGAAAGCGCAATGTGGTAGGAAGTTTATAGGTGGGTGGGCACCAGGTCCGTGGAGGATGCCTGATCCTTGGCAGGGGAGGGGTGGTGGCCCCAGGGGGCATGAAGGACACTGTAGTCTCAGAAGTGTCTTTTACTAAGGGAGACCAGATTTTGAGGCCCCATAAGGAGCCCTGCCTTCGGTTTCCACAAAAGTCGCCTGTTGTGATGTTAAAGAGGGAGTGACAGCAAGAGACATTAGGGGAGGAGGGGTTAAGGACTGGGCTGAAGCAGAGCTATCCTGCAAGGGACCATGTGCCATTTATGGGAATGGACACATGAATCAATTCCATGGTTGGGAGACCGAGGGATTCATTAGTAGTAAAGAGAACTGGGAAAGCAGGTGACTGTTCATCTACAGGGAGGATCAGAGGTGGTAAGGGGACCAGTGCCCAGAGAACCGAAGCCTGGGGAGAAGCACAGCCAAAGGACAAAAGGGTGCCAAAGATAACAAAGCCGGAAAAGGATGTCATGGCTTATCAAACTCGCAGTCAGGCCCGGTCTCCAGATGGGTTTCCGTAGCTGGCTGGATGTCTCTCGATGGAATCCAGATGGGGGTTGTAGTGACCTGTGGAAATATACAAGTATATCCTTGTCCTCAGGTCAGGACAGGGGCTGGTTTCTGCCACAGGGATGAAATCGGATCCCTTCATATAACCAGTAGCAGGGTCATAGCCTGAGGCAAGAAGGATCAGTGTTTGTATGCTGGACTGAGACCCCGGCCGTCAAACATGAGGAAATTAAGGTGGAACAAATCCTCAGTAAGAGCCAGGTGAGGGTCGTGTTTGGCCTCAGCCAAGGGGCTTTTAGCCAGGAGGGACTTAAGTGTCCTGTTGGCCCTTTTGACAATGGCTTGTCCTTGTGGGTTATAGGGAATACCAAAGGTATGTTTGATTCCCCAGGAGGAAACAAATTTATTGAATTCTTGAGAGGATTAAGAGGGCTCATCATCCCATTAAGTGCCCAGGGTACGCCCATGATTAACATGGCAAACTTTATAGCTTTAATGGCATGTATAGTCTTTTCCCCTGAGAGAGGAAAAGCATAAGTAAGGGAAGAGCATGTGTCAACTATAACATGAATGAATCTCAATTTCCCAAAAGGGGGGTAGTGAGTCACGTCCATCTGCCAAATGGCATTGGGTATCAACCATGAGGATTCACTCCTCCCCTGTTAAGGGGCCCGAGAGGCATAAGTGGGGCACAAATAGCACATGAGCGGACAAGGTGCTTGCATTGGGACAAGGGAATTTCTGGGAGGAGTTTATGAATACTCTGAGGGGACAGGTGGAATTGTTGATGTAAAGCTCTTGCTTGTTTTAACTGGCTAGACTGGATTGTCATGATCAGGGCATCTGTGATGGCATTCCCCCAAGCTAGGATACTGGGAAGTGTGGTATGTGAGCAGATTTTTTGAGAAGAGAACTTCCTCAAAATATGGGGAGTCAGGGTCTGATTAGTTGGCGGCTTTGAAGATGAGTGCAAGGTCTGTGAGAGGGGTGGGTACCCATGGCTGTTGCGCAGCGTTTGGGCCAACATTAACCGGAAAGGCAGACAAGGGCTGGCAAGGGGCAGTAAGGGGTAGTTGGGCTATGTAGAAGGTGAAGGGCAGGCCGAGCAGAAAGAGCCACAGGTAGAGGTGCAGAAAGTGGCCTGGTGCAGGTTGTAGTACCAGCCGCCACTCAGCACAGCCCACACCCCCTGCCAGAGGATCTGCAGCGTCTGTGACCCCATCCCCAGCCTTCCGTGCCCTGGCCCCAGCTCGTTGGCCTTGTTGCCTGTAGTCTACTCCCTGCCTGAGCTCCGGGAGAGTGGCCCAGTGCCGTGGGGGTCACTGCTGCTATGGGAGGAGGAGGCAGCAAGCTGGGAGGTAGAGATGGAGAGCTGGGAGGTTTTAAGGCTGGCAATAATGGCTAGAGGCTATGGAGGGGAAAGGGGAGCACAATAGCCTCGGGTTCTCTATTGAAGGTTTTTCCAGCTCACCACAAAAGTAAAAGGCAAAGGTGGCTACCAAGAGGCACAAATGAAGCAAACAAGGACTGTGAGCCACTAGGCCATAAACCACCCCAACATGAACAGGTGTATCAGATCCAAATGTCTTGTGCTTAGTGAGGGACTTCTGAAGGCCATTACATCTCCAGCCATATGCTCACACAGTGTCTCCTGGACAGGCAACAGGATGACCCAAAGCCTGGGCTCTGAATTTGGGGTGGATCAACCCTTATGTGAACTCACCGGGAAAGGTGCCGACATGGGCTTCGGGACCACACGGCGGAGTGTGCCTTCCTGATTTAACAACAAATGTGACAAACAGGGTAGAGGGGACAGAGGAGAGGGACACTCACTCACCCTCGAGCAGCTGAACAGACAGACAAAACCTGGGGCCTACTCACCGAATGAACTAAACTTGGGGGCATCGCCAACACGGGGTCGGGGGGTACCTTATTCGGGCACCAGCTGTTGCAGGTTTCCCTGTGGGTCCAGCCCACAAGGGACTGCAAGGAACGAGGGTTCTGGCCAAGGTGGGGGTGAGTGACTCAGAATCAACACATAGACTCCAGGAGTCAGGTGAGAGCAGGCACTAGGTGTGGTACTGCAGACTCGTTTATTGCTGGGAAGTGCAAGCCTTATATACCTCTCCCCCTGCCCCCAGTGTCCCATAAGTTGGTGTGTTCCTTCCTGATAGGTCCCCTCATCTGGGCAGGATCCCCTCATCTGGGCAGATTGCAGGTTGGCTATTTTGTGGAAGCACAGGCTATGCTCTCAAAGTGGAAGCTGTGTTCTCTTAGTGCAGCCTGTGCTTAAGCCTGGCACTTCCTCTCCTACAGGTGCCAGCATTCTAGAAGGAGAGAAGAGAAGAGCCTGGGCCTTAGCATCCAATTTGTATGTCATTCCTTAAGCCTCTTGTTTTCTCCATGGTATCCCTGCCTTTGCCTATATTTTGTGTTTCCCAGCCCAGACACCCATTTCATCCAGTAGAGAATTTATTTTGCATCATCGTGAGGAGGACAAGGCCTCGGTGTTACAGGCTAGGAATAGGTGTCAGCATAGGATGCTGGTATATCCCTGGGAGCTGTGTCACAGGAAAGAAACATAGGAGCCTGGTGCACTTGCAAGATGCCTAGTTCACACTAGGCCCCTTTCTTGTGATCATTTCCTAGAGTCCCCTTGCTTGCACCGGGCCTGAGTGAGTGATCCTGCAAGTTGCCTAATGTCATGGAATCTTCAAAGGAGGAGCTATATCTGGGAGTGCATCCAAATCATAGCGCCTCAGCTTTCTCTGTGGCACAGTGCCTTGGTCTTCTGGACCAGCTTCTTTATCTCTCTGCTGTTGCTAGATGAAGACTTTGGTCTTTTCCCTAGACATGTTGATTCAGATCAGCCTCAGTAATAAATATCTACTGCTCCATGTCTATCCCCGCAGGTTGTTGTGATGATTCAGTGAGTTAATACAGGTACAGAATTCAGAACACTGCTCTGCACAGTCAGCCCACTAGCAGGACTTAACAGTTTTTCCTGCCACTCAGGCTACTACAGTTTTGTTTGACCAGCACTTGAACATGATCACTATGTTTCCTCAATCCACCATTGAATTGGAATTGTCTGTTCTTTTGGAATGAATTCTGTAGCATATGGCTCTTAGCCAATATTTTGTTTTTAAGGTTTGGGGATAAGAAGAAGGGAATGCATGTTAATACAGATCTCCACACTGACATAGGTCATTGTGGGTATAATCCACTGAAGTCTAACATGATTCTACAACTCAATCATAATTTCTTCTTTATTCCTGGCTTTTTATGTGGGTGCTAGGGATCTGAACTCAGATCCTCATGCTTATGCAGCATGCACTTTCCCAAATGAATCATTTCTCTGGCCCCTCCAAGAGACTTTCTATCTAGTCCATGAATTCCAGGGATATCTCTCCAAATAAAGTCTACCAAGCACCCTCTTTGTCTCAGTACCCACAAGTCCTCTATGGCTATAGGTAGCAGAATTGCTGCTTTCTAATCCCTGGCCCAGTTCTGAACACTTTCATGTGACCCTTCCCTGAGAATCAGATGGTCAGATACCTCACAGTTGGCTTGGTCTGTGACTCTAGGTTGTGCATGTTCTCTGTGCTTGTACTGGACACTTATTTTTGAGCTCAAACCGTCCCTCTTATTTCCTTGAAGACAGGCCTGGCTCCATCCCAGATGCTGAGTCCAGGTCCCATCCCTTGTGCTCTGGGAGGGACGCCAGGGGGTAGTGTAGTTCCTTTATGCCCAGCTGACCATGGCTCATGATTTCATGGTGGGAAGGGGGAGGTTAACTGTAGCCTTGGGAAATCTGGCCTGCCTCCACAATGCAGGCTTTGTTTCTCTGTAAGGAGAGTAGTCCTCAGTCTTTCCACAGTCATGTAGACCATTTACTGTCCTGGTTGACCTGGATGCCCCTGCTTGTCACCATCAGATTTCCAGTTCCCAGGAAGGAGACTGTCAGTTCTTTCTGTTGTCTCAACTATGTGGCCAGCTGGATTGCCCAGTCATGTGTGCATTTCAGCTCAGGCTGGCAGTGGACCTCGCAAGCATTTTGTAACGTTATGTCAAAGGCCTTCTTCTGGCTCTTACGTCAGACTTTTCCCTTCCTGGTTTGTTTGCCCTCTATCAGTAACTCATTGCACCAGTGGCTCAGAGTTTTGAATGTCAACATTCAAAACTCTGGGTATTTGTTTGGTACTGCTTTCTATCAGAAGTGTAGGTATTGTTATTATTTTCCTTCCTGTTCCCCTTTGTTCTCCATGACTTCAGATACACCTGTTACCACGCAGAAGCAGTGGTTTAGAGAGACCTTCGATCATCTGTCTGCAATTGCTAGCTCTGCAGAAGCCGCAGATGCTGGTGTTCACCTGGTGTCTGGGTAAGAAAAGAATCTGAAGTTATTGTCGAATTAGAATGATATAGACAGATACTGGAGTCAAATAGTAAAATATTTATTATGTGCTGTGAGCAGAGTGCTGAATTAGATGAGGAAGATTTAGAAAAGATGTTTTAGATTTTGGAGAACTTGAAAAACACAAGTTACAGGATTAGATTTTTCTAACCATGACCATTGCAATTTTTTATGACAAATACTTTTTTGAGATTCCTTAGGGAATATGCAGTGGTTTGAACATGTGGAAAAAAACAAAGAAGGACCCCACATAGCAGGTAAACACTGAGTTTGGGTTTATACAGAATGAGAGCTGATGAAAAGTGAAGAGGTGGACATTGGAGTAAGGACAGACCTGAGGTACAGAGATATTGATTTGAGAATCTTCAGAAAATGAGATGACCCAAAAAAGTAAATTTTGTAGGTCACCAAGATTGCCTCTTTTTGGGGGGGTAGTGCTGGGGATTGCTCAGAATTGAACTTAGGACCTTGTATACACACTAGGCAAGTTCTCTGCCATTGAGCTATATATCTCCAGCCCTAAAGTTGCCTTCTGGAGTACCCTTTGGAAAATAGTGCTTCTGAAGCAATCAACACTTTTCCATTTTATTTTTAATATCTAACTTTAGAGGACATGCATAATTAAATAAAGCTTGAGAACAAGTCCTACTTAACATTTCTAATGCAAACACTTTAAACATGACAATTTCATTCTACATCTTCTGAAGCAGAGATTACTCCATTCTAGCACTTTTAATTTAGATGTCAGTATCTTCATATGACATAAGACATTTGTTGCTTGTGTTGTCCTGTGTGGTAACACAGCCTCCAAAAGAGCAGAGGAGTATCTGCCTTTTACTATACTTTCAAGTCTATTGCATCCTTGTACTATTAAGGCTGTTTAAAAAGTGCCACTCTTAGCTAAAGATATGGCTCCGTGGGTAAGGATGCCTACTCCTCTTGCAGAGGACAAGGTTTGGTTCCCAGTACCTACATGGTGGCTAACAACCACCTGTAACTCCAGGTCCAGGAGATCTGATGCCCCCTTCTGGTATCCGTGGGTTCCTGCATGTATATAGTGCACATAAATTCATGCAGGCACACACATACACATAAATAAATAAATCTTTTAAAACAGAAGAAAGCAATGCCATTCTTCCCTTCTGATGCCAACTTCCTATGGAAATACTCCTCTGAGTGTGTTCCTGTATCAGGAGGATTTCTACCCTTACCTCTTTTTGCTTTCTCTCACCATTTACTCACCAAATATCTCTAATTTCCCGAAGTCTCTGCCCAAAGTAACAGCTTTTGCCTTTCCACCAAGCTCTGGACTTTCCTTTAGAGTCTATTTTTTTTTCTCTCTCCAAGGTCAATTGCTGAACCACATAGAAGCATGGTACTCAATGTGTTATGGCCATACCAATTTTGCCCCAAATCAATAGGAACCAGTCTAATTCATAAACTTAGCCTCTAAGTAATTTTTAGAAACAGACATATCCAAAATTCTTTCTAAATTAAGGCTTTGCAAATATCCTATGCATCTTTAATATCACCTTAATCATCCATTCATTTCTTCAAAACAATTTAGACAGCATTCTTTAGTACCTAGTACTGTCTTATGCATTAGGAATATAGCCATGAAGAATTTGTATGTAGTAGATGCTTAATTAATACTTGTTGAGTGAATTTTTACTGAAGACAGGCACAGTCCTGCTCTCATATAACTTGTGATCTGTAGGGAATATACTTAAATACCATGAGCTACAAATAGGGCATCAATTACCAAAGAGAAGAGTACGGAGAGCAATGGAAGCATTTGTCCAGGGAAGCTGCTCTGGGAACTCATCAGAAACCATGTAGGGAAAAGTGTTTCATTTCAGAAGCACAAGACAGCTGTAAGTTAATATGGTGGTGCTATGGAAGTGAAGGGAACAGAGGCAGAAAGTGGGCAGAGCAGAAAACAGTCCATGTAGAGGGGATGGCACACATACTGACCAGTGTCACAGGTGACTGTGGTGTGTTGGAGGAACTGAAGCAAGTCCAAGGGAAGTTATTGAGAGATTTTACACAGAAAAGTAACTGTTCATATTTGTTTTTTATTTTTATTTATTATTTTTATTTTATGTGTATGAGTGCATTGCTTACATGTAGGCAGGTGCACCCGTGTTGTGCATTGCCAAGGAGGTCAGAAGAGGGTATTGGATCCCCTGGAACTGGAGTTACGGATGGTTGTTAGTTGCCATGTGGGTGCTGGGAATTGAACTTGGGTACTCTGCAAGAGCAGTCAATGCTCTTAACCACTGAGCCATCTCTCCAGCCCCTTATAACTTGTTCATATTTGTATTGTAAAGATATTTTATCTGTAGTGTAGAGAATAGATTGGTGGAAAGAGGGGATAATGGTAGAATAGATTAAGGAGGGGGGACAGAGGTGGGGATGGGAGAGAGAGAGCAAGAGAGTGAGAGAGTAAGACTGAGGGAGAGAGAGGACACCCAGGGCTGGAGACATAGTCTTCTGAGTCTTGGCCTAGAGAAGGTGGCAGATTTATGAAGAAGAGCCACCTAACCCAGGCAGGATGTGCAGAATGAAGAAGACTTGCCATGCCTTAAGCATCATTTATACCACCACAGAGTCTGCTTTGAGTGAATTATTATACTTAAAGATAGAAATTCTGGTATGTTAGCAACCACATCTTTAGCACTCAAATTCATTTCTTGCTTTTTGGAGCAAGGATGACTGCAATTATTGATGGGAAACAGCCTGGTCCTTAAAAATCTAAGCACATGCATAGCAGCTACTGCAACATAGCTCAAGATTCACACACCCACACTGTGCTGTGACCCCACAGGTCTCCTCTTGCTGATGCCTAGCTTCTCTCTAATACAAGAGTCAAACTTGGTAACCTACAACCTGCACACTTGAGGTGTGTAGAATTCTTCCCATTAAGATATCTTGTTCAAAACTAAAGCTAACTTTTAAACTCTTTTTGCTTTTCTTGAAGTTTATGCAATGTTATGCAAAACATAAAAATGTTTCCTCAGAAATGTATAGTCACTGGTATAAGTAGAGGAAATCATGGCAAAAGCATTTCAGAAAATGTGGATTATATTTCAGTCTCTAAAAGGGCATGCTGTTTATTTGTTTTTGCCATGTTTATGTGCTAGATAGCTTCCGTTGTGAACTTGACACACCTGGGTAGAAGGAACCTCAATTGAGGCATTTCCTCCACTGTGTTGACCTGTGGCCATGTCTATGGGGCATTTTTTTGATGTTGAGTGATGTGGGAGGACCCAGCCTACTGTGGGTGGTGCCACCTCTGGGCAGGTTGTTCCGTGTTTATAAGAAAGCAGACTGAGCACAGGCCAGGGAAGTAAGCAGTGTACCTCCATGCATGTGCTCCAAGTTCCTGCCCTGAGTTCCTGCCTTGGCTTCCCTTGATGATGGACTAACCCATAAGCCAGATAAACCCTTTCCTCCACAAGTTGATTTTGGTCAGTTTTTTTTTAAACCACAGCAATAGAGAGTAACTAGGATAACTGGGGTCTGAATGTTCCTTTATTAAAAAAAAAATATTTATTTTGACTTCATGTGTATGAGCGTTTTGCCTGTGTGCAATGCCCTCAGAGGCCAGAGAGGGCATTAGATCTCTGGAACTGGAGTTAAGGACAGTTATTAGCTGCCATGTTGGTGCTGGGAACTGAACCCATGTCCTCTGCAAGAGCAGCCAGTGCTCTTAACTGCTGAGCCGCCTCTCCAGTCCTGTGTGCAGGGGATTGAAACTTTGAACTTGTGTATGCTAAGCAGAGACTCCTTCCATTACTGAGTAAACCCTACAAGTGACTTTGGAAATGTTTTATTCCTTCAGTCACAAACATTTGTAAACTAGCTACTTAGTTATCTGAACCCAAGAGAATGGACAAATGAATCTTTTCCTCATTGTATTTATAGGAAGTGACTTTTTAAATGCTTCACAGAATGATATATGGAGTTTATGAAAAATACATGATTTCACACAATTAAAGGAGCATTTTCTACTTCCTGTATCTGAGTTGGCAGATATTTCGGAGCATTCCTACAGAAGAAATACCATTCTGGGCTGATGTCGTTCTGGGATTTCGAAAGATGACCGAGGCTGAGCTGAAGAGATTCCCTCAACATGTGTTTGGTCAGGCTTTTACAACCCTGAAATGTGAGATGTCCGCCTACCTCCCGTGGTTGGAGAAAAGGTCAGTTGAAGTAGTTCTGTCCTGCCGCTTGTCTGTCACAGTTATAAATTATTGCATCGCTATTTATAGAACACAGCAGAACTTCTCTGAGGTCCCTCAGGGCTTTTTTGCAGTGTCTTGCTGCTCACAATGGACAGGGCTCTGTAGAAGTCTAGAGACAGTGTTCATGAGGCAAGAACAAAGTCCACAGCATACCCAGTAACCCATTTTACACCTGTTTTTGTGTGGTCTGAGGTGGCCCACTCGTCCCAGTTTTCTCAGGGAAAAGCAAATTATTGAAATACTATCATGGTCTCTTCATCTGGGAAAAGGAGAAGGTGACGGTGTTCCTACAGCTGTAAATGATATGCTCACTTTAGTCCTTTGAATGGAAAAAGTTTGTGTTTATCATGAATTATTTTTGAATATGTTTCTCATTTTCAGTAAAAGTAGCTTTATTATTATTATTATTATTATTATTATTGGTCAGGAACATGAATAAGAACTCTAAAACTGAGAGCTTATCAAAGCATGTACTGACTTCCTTAGAATTCACCCCTTAAAACTTTGAACTTGCATTTTGGCTTGATTTTAGGACTTCCTGTTTCTAGTTTGGTAGGATATATATCAAGAGTATTTTTATTTGAGATACATCAATAAATCTCTTGCTTGTTTACTCTGGACATTGCAGGAGACTGAGGGTTGGGAAACATAAGCCCTTTCAAAGTCTCAAATCTGGGTACAGGTTGAATATTCCTTACTGGAAATTCTTGGAACCAGAAGTGTTTTGAATTTTTGATTTGAGGATATTTGTATATCTATCAAGAATTCACTGGGATCTGGCTAGATGTCCAGTGTGGTGGAGAAAGCGGGCTGCACACCCTTTTCTTCCATGAAAGGCTCTGTGGAGTAGGGACTCCGCTCAGCTCAAAGAGGAGCCTTTCAGGATGGTGGGAGGCACGGCAGTGTCACTGTGAGGGGGCAGGACACCTGGCTCACTGTGTGGGCAGGGCAGACCCAGATGGGCAGCCACACAATCCCTGCTGTTCCTTACACCCAGGATCTGTTCTGTTGCCTCCTACGCCTCTTTCCCACAGAATGAGTGCTCAGCCTTCTGTTCTGACTCAAAAGTGAGCATTTTGCTCTGCAAGCCACATAGCAATGACTTCAATCTCACTCTAGCTTTGAGAATGATACTATTTTTATACGCTATTTTTTTTCAAAATAAATATTTTATTTTAATTTTTGTGTGTTTCATATATCTTAATCATATTTGGACCCCCTCCCCTATCTGCACCCCTTATCAGATTTTATGCATTCTGTTATGTATGTTAAGGCCTTTCGAGCCACGTTTGTGTCCCCAGTGTCCCTCAATGTGAGTTCCTCCACTGGAGCCTGGTCAACCTGTCTAGTGTCACTCCTTTAAAAAACCAACTCTCCCTCACTCAGCAGTGATCAGCTGCCAATAGTTCTGCCCATTTCCCCAGTTCTATGCTGGGTCTTTGTCTGGTTTGAGTTTGCATGGGTCTTGTGCATGCTGTCACCATTACTGTAAGTTCATGTGAGCAAGTTTCCAGAAGCCTGGAAAACTCTGTTTCCTTGTGGTCATCCACCACCCCTGGCTCTTACAATCTTTCTGTCCCCTCTTCCACAACAGTCCCTGAGCCTTTGGTGGGTGAGCCTTAATATAGGAGTCCTATCCAGGGGTGTGAATTCTATAGAATCTCTTATTCTCAACATTTTGGCAAGTTGTGACTTTCTGTGTTAATCACCCTGGGTCTTTGTCTGGTTTGTCTATTAACATGAGGAAGCTTTGCTGGTGAGAGTTGAAAGATGTGTTAGTTTTCCGTCTACCTCCTGTTCCACTGTGTTCCATGAGCCTTTGGTGTAGAGGGTCTATTGTAGATGTGTCACTTAGGGCTAGGCATCTCACAGACACTTATTCTCTGTGTTTGACCAGTTGTGGAACTTAAATAGTCATCATCTGCTACAAAAAAACTTATATCAACACAGGAAAAATATATTATTTTATTGCAACTTAGATCCTTAATAGTTTTCAAAGAACAAAAAAAGATCATCTCCTTTTCAATCATTGTCCAATAACATCCAGAGCAAAACAACAAGCACAAAGCCCTCAGGGGTTTAATCACCCATGCAGGCCATATTTCATATCTTTGGACAGTAGAGTTACACTCTGCTGTTTCAGTACTTGCTGTCCCAGGAAGTGAATCATAGAGGCAGTAAGCCCTCTGCCAGGCAGCCTACCTAAATAAATGATCTTGGAGGGACCAGAGTCACCCTACCTTTGATGACATCCAGAAAGCATGTGGTCCCCTTCAGTGCTGGAGGCCTATAACTTAAGTGGGCTAATTTCTTTCCAGGAGGCCAGGCTTTACTCCATGGCCCTGAGGAGATCACACTGGCACAGCACTGACTTCACTGAATTCTCCTCAGACCTTCCTGCCTGCACAGATGAGGCTTCTCTGCTGCTTTCTCTGGGTGGACCTTGCAGCTCCCAGTTTTCTTCTCTTCCACTTTGTGTTCCCTCCCCTGTCCGATTCCCGCGATTTTCTAGACAGCAGTATAGAAATATGTACCTGCACTGAGCATCAGCATGGGGCGGGTTGTACCAGCTTTGCACTTGCCCAGATGAGACTCTGACTCCTCCTGTCCAACATACACTGGGCCTACTGGACCAGCAGTAAGTGCTAGGATTTCCTCCTCCTCCTGCCCTCCACCCCCCAAGTGCCTAGCCAGAGGAGCATGAGACTAAAGGCCCCGTGCAGAGGTGAATGGGCTCATTGCCCTTTTAATTTTTTTCTTGGCTAGGCAAGGACAAAGTGAGTCAAAGGTGGAAAGATGATGGTGTCTGTCTTCCCTGATGATGGTGATAAGCTTTATAGGAAATAGATGATGTGTTGGGTGCTATTAAGGCTTTGGTATCTGCTGGTAAGGAAGCTGTTGGGCTGGATCCCCCCCCTGCCCATGGACTGAGGGAGCATAGTTGCTTTCCTCCAGGACCACCTGCCTATAAGCCCTGAGCCACATCCACATCCCTTCTTCCAAAGGAGCAGAGACTGCTTCGCACCTGATGTGACTTGGAGCAATTTGTATGTGTTCATGGAGTAGGCTAGGCTTGGATGGATTGAGAGGCAGCCAGTGAGGACCACAGTTAGCAGATGAGAAATACTGCCAGGTTAGAACTAGGCTACATGCACTTGATGGTTTTGTGAACCTAAAATACCCTTTAAAGTTCTAACTATGGGAACTTACATTAGGCATAGCTACAGGAAGTATTGCTGTGAAGAAACTGGGTTTCCCTGTAAATCTGTATGTGTAGTACTTAAGCAACTAAGATTTTAAAACTAGGCTTCTTTCTTTTTGTTTTTGAACAAATAGGCTGAACATGGTTGATTTTGATTGCTGATAATAAGGTGTCATTCTCTGGGTTGAAAGAAGCAAGGGGTCATTGTTAAAATTGACTAATGATGCATACACAGAAATCCCAACACTACTACAGCTAATGAAATCTTTTTGTGAAGCATATAACAGAGCCAGCCCTATGTTTCCCATGTTGGACCCAGGTCCTTGGTCCCAGTCCGGCTATCCTATTGTTTCTCTTCATCGTCAGTGGGACTTCCAAGTTCCCGACTGCTTCTCACTTCTCCACTCCAATGTCTTTTTACATGGTGACTAAAAACTCACTGTTTTCCTCATTCCAACTGACTTTAGAGACCCCCACCAAGGCAACCACTAGTCATTCTATGGTCAGAAGAGAGCTGGCTCCACACCAAGAGAGATGTCTTCCTTCTGTCACCGTAATTAGCAGGGTCAGAACTGGGGCCCTGGCAACTCTAATAAAGCAGGTTTGGCCACTTGCCCTTCATAAGCCAATTAAACACACAAGTAATAATAAGACCATCTTGCAGAAAAGACTGGAGCCAGACATAGATGAATGGTGGGAATACACCTTGACCATGCCTGCCCAGCTGTACATACCTCTGGCCCTGTACTTAAGCCCAAATCTCATATTCGGACCCTAAACATGGATGGAGGCCGGGAGTGGGGCGTGCTACTAGTCCGTTTGGTTTTTCTTCCTAATGTGGCCAGACTGAATAAGTCCTCTTTGTTCTGCTTTTCATTACTACCATCGTCCTGCCCCTTAGCCAAGCCACAGACGTTTCTGAAGCGTCTGGTCTTCAGAGAAGCAGTGCAGAACCTTTACCTTCTCTCTGAAGTGGACTCGGAGCCTTAGTGGTCACTTTCACTTTCTAGCTGTACGACACAGAGGGCTATTTGGAGAATGTTCTCAAACTACAGTGCAGTCTCTCTCAAAGGAGTAATGGTCAGCTTAGAGACCACTCAAATTTTAAGTGACCAAAGTTTATCGTTCCCCGTTTCCTATTCATTATAGTCCGAAAACAATTAGAGTATATTTTTCAGAAGGGGATCCAGGTGAGTGGGTTCCAGGGCATAGTCAGGTGGCTCTTCTGGGTTAGCTATTCCTCCCCACTGAACTGTACCCTCCCACCTGCCCTTACATCACACTCCCCAAGGTCCCTGCTCCCTCTTGCAAGTCTCCACTGCCTCCAGGGTTGCCTCAGCAGTATTTCCCCAACAAAGCCCCTCCTTCCTGGTCAGGGCTATATTCAGTCAGTAGAACTCCCATTTCCTCACAGTGGCTGGGCAATGGTATGCTGTCTCTACTGGAATTCTCACTCAGAGGAAAGTGATCAAGCATTTTGGATCCCAATCATGTCACCTCAACTTCTGTGATACCTACTTCATAATGGTTGTAAAAATAAACTTTTAGGTACCCAGACATCTAAGTTAACACCTGGCTTCAGGATACGGCCTCTCCTATACCCTCATATCAGGTTCTTGGTGCATTACCTGTGGGATACAAAAATGGTGAGTGCACATCGCCATGAGCTCACACTGAGATGACATAAGATGACCTGTTTCTGGGCACATGCAGCAGGTTGCTTTCTGGGAAAGAAGCCCAGGAGGGGCCCAGCAAAACAGGTCTGACAGGGCCTTTCAATAGCCCAGTCATATATCACTTACATAGTCTCTAGTGACAAGTTGGACTTTTATCCCTCATCCATAGTGAAATGCTGATAGGCCCAATCTTGTCCAGGTCTTTTGCAGGTTACCACAGCCGCTGTGAGTTCATGATTGCAAGTGCCCTGTCAAGTCCAGAAGATGTCTTTTCCTAGCACACTCCCCATCCTCTGGCTACTCTTTCTGCCCCCTCTTTTGTGATATTGGTATTTACTTTCATAAAGATTATGAACACTGTAATGTGTTGGTCAGTGTCACCATAAAATACCAACTTTTCTTTCTTTGCCAGTGTTTAGGACACCGAAGCCTTAAGGAATTGTTTTACCTTTAAAATATTATCCATTAATGTACATCTACTGAACATAATCTGAGCTTTTAAATTGTTCCATTGAGAGAGTTGAAATTTATGTTCATAAAAAAGCTTTGGTCTCCTTCCCCCTTCCCTCTCCTTTAGTTACTTTATCACGCTAAAGGTTTTATTGGTTCTTTGTGGCCCAATGTGTGGGTTTGCCAGACTGTTTTCTTTTCTTGTTACAGGTCTCGCACTGATTTTCTCAATAACAAGGATGCATAGGGTGAAAATTGGTGCTTGAAACAATCTCTTGGGTTGAATAGAAAGTATACTGCGGGTTTTAATCATTTAGAGCAAGAACAGGCTTTTGTGTCCTCCAGCCTGGCACAGGGCTTGGCACAGCTGGGCCTTCTATAAATACTTAATATATAATTTGGAAATCATATCCAGAGGTTTTGACACCCCTCCCCCACCTCCAGTGACCGTGAACTGACAATAGTCCCTCAGAGAGGGGTAGGCCTTTTAAGCCCTTTCTGCATAGATCTCCTATCGGTGATAAAATGTTGATGGGGTCTAGTCTTCGAAATTCTCAGTAGTGATAGAAGAGAGGTCCCAGCAGAGGAAGGAGTGTGGTAGTTGAGGGGCTGGGGCTCTGACCCTCAGCTCACCTTCTACTGAGCTGCAGAGAGGTCAAGATTCAACTCAGAAAAGCCAAGCTGCTGGGGTCAGGGGTTGTGATGCTGGAGAGCAGCAATGTTGGTCTCTTCTGTTCTCTTCTACTTGTGGCATTTTCTAGAACTGGGGACCAATGCCAGAAGGCCAGTTCCCTGCAGATCTTAATACAAGTTTCAATTGGACATTCCATCTGGGAAGTGGGGGTAGAATATCAGAGTCTTTTCTTGTGAGGATCAGTGGTGAAGCCATGCCATTATTTACCACTTTCTAGCCACGGCTTTATGCTACATCCAGAAGTTTCTGCCTTTTCTTATGTTTTCTTTTTCTTATGAAACCTTGCTCATCTGACCTGGAAGGAAGGTATGCTCATAACTAGTTACATGCTGGCTCCTGCTCTTGCAGGGAGGGTACAAGCATTCCATCTCTGTTTCTGCTGTCAGTCCTTCCCAGATTCTCCCTAGAATGTGCTTTAATTGCCGCAGTCACAGACACATGTCTATGTGGCACTGGATACCAGGGTTCTACATTCTCCAAAGAGCTAGAACAAATAGTGTGTGTGTGTGTGTGTGTGTGTGTGTGTGCACATATATGCATATACTGTGTGCTCAGAACTTCATTCTGTGTCACACTGTCTCCCAGTTCCTTTCCAGTGCTTGAGGAAGGGTGTTGTGCCTCATACCATTTTTGTTCCTCTTAACAATATCTGGCTTCTAGACACGCAACCTCATCTGTTGAACAGACCTGCCAAGAGTCTCATATTAAATCCCTTGCATTCTACAAGTAACGTATGAATAAGATTATAGGATTACAGCGATTAAGATTAAGATGACAAGATTACTGGGGGTTATTTTTTAATGACTACAGACTTCTACCTTCAAGATGAAAAGAGTTCTGAGGATGGATGGGGGTGATCATTTTGCAACAATGTCAGTGAGTTTAATGCCACTGAGTGGTATACTTAAAAATTGTCCAAGTGGTGAGTTTCATGTTGTGCATATTTTCTATAATTTAAGAATGATTATAAGACTTGGCTAAGGCATTTCTTGTCATTATTAAAATATGTGGTCCAAAAATAACAGCCATTTAGTCCATCAGCTGCTTATTATGCTCCTTTTATGAAAACACTCCTGCAGACATGGAAGGGGGAGAGAGAGAGAGCGAGAGAGCGAGAGAGAGAGCTGCACCAACCATCTACCTAGAGAGTGCAGACTATTACAAAGGCATGCAAGAGTTCACAATATGTGACATAATGTTGAGGCAGTAGTATTTAAATAAGTAATACTTGGGTGTTTAAAGTACCAGACCGATTTCATATTTATTTTATATCTAGAATGATATAGGAACTCTGCAAAATTGTTAAAGAGCAAGGCATATGGTTTTCTTTGTTTTGTATTTTCAAAATAGGTTTTCATTTAGGGTCAACCAGAGGAATCACCATTTTCTAAGTATGTGGGGCTAGAATTTGATGTGGTTTGTTTGGAAGCTGTTGGGATCCTGTTTTTCTTCCTGTGTTCCTGTTCTTCACTTCTTGGAAGTGGGTGAACAGGTGGATCCAAAGGCTCACCCCCATCTCTCTTCCTTAGGGTAAAGGCAAGTGGAGGCCTCCTACTCACTAGGCGAATAGAAGACCTGTGGGAACTGCAACCATCGTTCGATGTAGTGGTCAACTGCTCAGGCCTGGGAAGCAAACAACTTGTGGGAGACTCCATGGTTTCCCCTGTAAGGGGCCAAGTGCTCCAGGCACAGGCTCCCTGGGTGAAGCACTTCATCCGAGATGGGAGTGGGCTGACATATATTTACCCTGGTGTATCCTATGTAACCCTGGGAGGAACCAGACAAAAGGGAGACTGGAGTCTGTCTCCAGATGCAGAAATTAGCAGAGAGATTTTGTCCAGGTGCTGTGCTCTTGAGCCATCCCTCCACAGAGCCTGCAACATAGAGGAGAAAGTGGGCCTGAGGCCTAGCAGGCCAGGTGTGCAGCTACAGATGGAACAGCTAGTCCGAGGGGAACGGAGGCTGCCTGTGGTCCACAACTACGGCCACGGGAGTGGGGGCATCTCAGTGCATTGGGGCTGTGCTGTGGAGGCCACCAGGCTGGTAAGTGAATGTATTCAGACCCTCAGGACCCCAGGTACTACATCAAAGTTGTAGATGAACATCAAATGACAGCAAATAGCCCCAGATACTATTGATCAAAGCACAATGTAAGGTCCAGAACAGGTTTAAATGACTTTTTGTTGTATGAAAGTTGAATTAGACATTGCTTTTAAAATTAGAAATTATGCAATATGTATCAGTAGACTTTGAAAGTTTGCTGCTAATGGCATAGAGCATAGGGCTCCATTTTTATTTAAAATATCTGTTATAAAAATTTTTGGAATATAGGATAATATTTCTTTGGGATTTAATGACTAAGGATCTATGCTAATTTATATGAATGATGAAAGCTATAGGAATTTTTATATCTTTAGCTCACAAATTCACAAGAGGAGCTAATATATGGAAAACACTTGACTCCTTGTCAGTTGTAGAACTATGCATGACCCTCAGGTTATATAACCAAATAAGTATTATAATCCCTCTAAACAAGATCACGTGGTTATCACACAGTGCAGACCCACTGTATTTAATTGAGTGCAAAGCACAGTTACTGCTAGTATAGGGTCAGCATCTTCCTCCCCTCAGCTGGTAATGGTGGTAGGAGACAGGTGAAGTTTCCTGCGAAAGTGGCATCAGTTTGGTAGCTATTTAGATCTGTCACAGTGTAAATCTTGTGATCAAGTACCTAACAGAAACAACTTAAAAGATTAATTTTGCCCATGGTTTCAGAGGTGTGAGTTCATTATGGCAGGAGGGCATTGTAGAACAGAGCTGTTCAACTCCTGGAAGCAGAGTGAAGCAGGAACAGGAAGGGCCAGGGCAAGATGTAGTGACCTACTTCCTCCAACCCGTCCTCTCCTACAGTTCTACCTTCTCCTCGTAGCTTACTCAAATACTGAATCCATCAATGGATTAAGCCACTGACTAGGTCATCTCTCTCTAGAAACACCCTCGCAGTCCCACCCAAGGCACACTTTGCTAATCTCCTAGGCCATTCTTAATCTAGTCAAGTTGGCACTCATGATCAACCACCACAGTCATCTATGGTTGCATATTTCATTACCACAAATGATTGAGAGCTGAATTACTTCATGAATGAATTTGCCTAAGCATTAAAGATTGAAGAGTATATTCGGCCAAGGAACTAATTTGCTAATTGAGATGGAACAACCATTTTGACGTATAACAAAAAATATTCTTCATGTTGTTAAAAAAGTATTAGGGAGTAAGGAGCACTGGGGGTGGTGGCTGTAGTCCCAGCACTTGGCAGGCAGAGGCAAGTGGATCTCTGTGAGTTCAAGGCCAGCCTGATCTACACAGTGAGTTCCAGGCCAACCGTAGCTACAGGGAGACCCTGTTTCAAAAAGACCAAAAAAAAAAAAAACCCAAAACAAAACAAAACCAGAAACAACACCCACCCCCCCGAAAAAGTACTGGGGAGTAAGGTAATGTATCTTATGACCAAATGAGCTTGAGAATTGCTGAGTTGGCTAATTTTACCTGGTTTACCCTGTCTGTGTGCATTTCAAATCCTCAGGAGGGTTTTTTGGCTTGGGAGAGGAAATACCATCCATTAAGATATGCAATCTTGGTGTGTGTGGGGTGTTCATTTATTTTTGAGGGAGCTGATTTTTGTCTGGGAATAACAAATTCTATTTGGGACATCCTGGGGGAGAGATAGATTGGTCATGAAAATGTGGGGATGTGGCAAGAGAATGGCTCAGCAGCTAAGAATGCTTGTTGCTGGGTCAAGGAACCAGAGTTCAATTCTCAGCATTCAGGTCAGGAGGTTCCCAACTGCCTGTAACTCCAGTTTAGGGAATTCAACGCCCTCTTTTGGCCTCATCAGGCATCCACACACTGGGACATCCACACACAGATATGCACATGTGTACATAAATAAAAAAGTTATTTTGGTGGTTTTTTTTTTTTTTTTTGAGGGTTTCTCTGTAGCCCCAGCTGGCCTGGAACCCCCTATGTAGATTAGGCTGGCCTCAATCTCACAGAGATCCACCTGCCTGTGCCTCCTGAGTGCTGGGATTAAAGGTGTGTGCTGGGGCTGGAGAGATGGCTCAGCAGTTAAGAACACTGGTTGTTCTTGCAGAAGACCTAGGTTCGAATCCCAGCACTCATATGGCAGCTAACAACTATCCATAACTCCGGTTCCAGGGGATCTGATGGCCTATTCTGTCCTCATGGGCATTGCACGACACGGGTGCACTTACACACGTGCAGGCAATACACTCATACACATAAAAATAAAAATAATAAATAAAATATTTTTAAAAGAGGTGTGTGCTACAATGCCCAGCTAAAATAAATCGTTTTTTAATTATTTTTTAAACGTGGGGAAGACAAAGCTCCCAGCACAGTTCCATTTTTCACTTCTTTGCTGGTGTCTTGCATAGGAATTTGCTGACGAGAGCATTCTGCTGGGGCCCAGAGATAACAGCATGTGGATGGTCTGTTAAAATTCTCCAAGCACAGGCTCACTTCTGTTGATTTCCACCAGGGGGTGGTGTTGTATCAAACTGTAAGAAACTGGCACATTTGAACATTCAGGAATGACAAGAAATAAATAGTAGATACTAAGTGTGGTGAGTGTGTGATTTTTTTTTTTTTGAGATTTTTACAGTTTTCTATCACCAAAATTCAATTATTCTGAATTCAATTTAAAGTATGCAAAAAATGTATTGTTTACATAGATTGAAAACATATATGCACAACACAATATGTGAAAAGTATATAATGATAAACATTTTTTAAAAGGGGAAGATAAATTTTAATGGTTAAAAATAAAAATGAAGGGTGTTGCCCAGCACAGATGGCGTCTTTTCTTCGCACGACGGTTTTCAGTGTGCTCATTTGTTCCTTTCACCTGCGTAGACGCTGCAACATTCTCATTTTGTGTAGTGAGGCTCATGCACCATGACCTTCACCTATTCGCTATTCTAGTTTAGCTTCACACCGCATTTAACATTTCTGAAGCTCAACATGACTGGACTGAAAGATGGGAAAGCTTCCTGGCTATGTGCCCTGATTTTACTGTCACTAATTGCTAAAGCTTTCTTCCTGGTCTCTCAAAGATTATTATTCATGTTGGCCATGAGCTGCCAATCTGGACTGCATCTTAGAATCATATGGAAAGTTTGAAAAAGAAATCCTGATGCCCAGCTCTGCTCTGTTAAAGCAAAATCTTTGAGGCACGCGTTGGGGTAGGGGAGGTAGAGAGGTGGGAAGGTGTGGGGGCATTGCTCCTGGATTAGTATTTGTTCAGAGCTGTCTAGAGGGATTTGCGCCTTGGCTGAGAATCACTGAGCACCATTCTCCTCTCAGATCTCACCACCACCATAAGCACTGCCCCTCCCTTTCTCCCTCACAGTCAAGGTGCACTGAGCTAGGAGGGTGTGCTCACTTAAGCAGGTGTGTCCTTAGGCACTCTGGATAAGGTGGCCTATGGAAATCATGTCTCCCAAAATGGCTCTCAAGAAATACTGGGAATTATCTTGTAGGCTAGAGGTCAGTTGCTAAGAGACAGCTGCCTGTCTGAAAAGATGAGAGAGAGAATATGCATACAAACAACAGCCTGAGCATATATGACAACAGAGCTCTGAGCTGAGCCATGACCTGCAGCCTCCTGCCCAGGAAACCATTCCCTATCACCAGTAAACAGCCCAGGAAGCCAGCCCGATGTGCATCAGATTTGCCAGACACTGGATGGTTGTCTCTAGTGACAATCCGGAAAGCTGAACCATCATTTCTGTACAATTGACACAAAATGCCCAGGACATAATTAATAACCAATAGCTTCCCTAATTTTTGTCTCTCTTTCTAAATTGGGATCATCCAGAGAAAGCAAAATACACACCCCTAACCAGTGGCAGAGGGTTCCTTGTCTGTGGTTGACCCACCTGCAGTTTCTCCATGCCAAAGTTTTCCAATCAAGGGATCGCTCATGCCTCCCCCTTTTCTACTCTAAAGCTTCTTCACTCCTCCACCTGCCTTTGAGTATCTGCCAAATGCAAGGGATATAGCTGACTCCCACACAGAACTAAAGAAATAGCCACCATTTTTCTCATTTGGCTGGTGGATTAGTCAGCATTCTTCCGAGAAATAAAGCCAACATATAGCTACATAGAAAGAGATTTATTACAAGGAGTCAACTCACAGGATTATGGAGGCTGAGCAGTCTCATGATCTAATGCCTGCAAAATGGAGGTCCAGGAAAGCTAGGGGTATACTTCCAGTCCAAGCCTGAAGCCTGAGGACCAGGGTAACCAATGGCCTAAATCCCAGTCTGAATGTGAAGGTTAGGAGTGCTAGTGTCTGGAAAGAAGATGGATAGCCTAGCTTAGGTAGACAGCAGATGCATCCTCCCTCACCCTTCCATCTATTCAGGCTCTTACCAGGTGGCTGACACCACATTGTGAAGGGCAGTGAACTGAGTCTGAGCTCAGGCCTCTGAGTCAGATGCTTTACTTGTGAGATAGCTCAGCAAGTAAAGTCAGTTGCTATGCAAGCCAGACAACCTGAGTTTGATTCTCAGAGACCATGGTGGAACCCATGGCAGAAGGAGGGAACTGAGTCCAGATGCTCATCTCTTCTAGAGACAGCCTCACAGACATACCCACCAAATGGGACCAGCTGACCAGGCGTCCCTTAGCCCAAACAAGCTGACATAAAATTAACCATCGTAACTGGTCTTCACTTATTTCCACAAAGACTTCACGTTTAAATAGGTCGAGCTTTTCCTGGGGAGTGCTGCTACCTTGGTTTTCTTCCTTGTTTTCTATTTCAGAACACCTTTTATGGACTTCTTTTTTCAGTTTTAAATCCCTGCTTTCAAGCGTGTGGCCTTTGTGGATGAGCGTGTGCCTGCTGCGCTGTGACCCAGGGGATCCAGGCTGCTTTGAGGCGTTGTCATTGCAAGCACAGTGCTTCTACAGACAAAGGTTAGCCTCAGAGTTTCAGGATTGTATTCACCTAGGAAGAAAAGAAATTGAAGAGAAAGGCTGTAGCTGCTGAATGTAGACGATGAACTATTTAAAAAATAATAGATATTCCTATTATGGAATAAAAAATTCAAATGGATTTCCTCTCTTTTTAAAAAATATTTTATTTATTGTTTATTTATTTATTTAGTCTTTTTGAAGCAGGGTCTCCCTGTAGCCCCAGCTGTCCTGGAACTCACTATGTAGACCAGGCTGGCCTTGACTCATAGAGATCCGCCTGCCTCTGCCTCCCAAGTGCTGGGACTACAGGTGTGTGCCACCACGCCTGGCTTTTATTTATTATGTTTATTTTATGTGTATGAGTGTATTGCCCATGTGTAGGTAGGTGCACCGTGTTGTGCAATGCCCACAGAGGTCAAAAGAAGGCTTCTGGTCCCCTGGAAATGGAGTTATGGATAGTTGTTAGCTGCCATATGTGAGTGCTGGGAATCAAAACCCAGTCCTCTGCAAGAGCAGCCAGTCTTAACGTCTGAGCCATCTCCCCAGTCCCTTTTTCTGTCACTTCCTTTCCGTCTTTCTTCCTATTCTTCTTCCTTCCCTTTCCTCTCTTCTCTCTCCCTCCCCTTTTCTTCCCTCTCCCTCTCTCTTTTCCTTCTTTTTTCCTGTTTGAAAAAGAGTCTTGCTACAAAGCCCAGGCTAGCCTGAAACACTAATTGATGTTTAAACCATTTTTTTCCTCTATCAATTAAGAGTTTTTAGAGATAAGGAAGAAAAGGATGGTGGGCGGGTATCTGCTGGGAGTTACAGTTCTTAGAAACCTGTTCTAAGGCTCTCCTAACTTGTCAAATATTTGAAATGAATGTAGCTCTTAACAGTATTTTTTTCTTGATTCCTCTCATCTTTCTTCTTGAAGGTATGAAGGATAGAGACACACTTGAAACCTGTTTCCTCGGGATATCACTCACCACAGAAAAGCTGATTGAGATGTTTAAATGGGGCCTTTCTTCTTGAAAAAAATCTTAGTAGTTTGCCACCAGGCCTGGGGTTTTTATTATCCTAAGTGACTCTGTTGCCTATAAATCACAGCCCTAAGTAGCCAAAGGGAATGAGTTAGCCAGATCCCTTAAATATATAACTGATGTTTCTTCCTCAATTATTAGCAAAGCAATTGACTTCTATCAGTTCATGGCACCTGCTGGCCTGGCCTGCAGCACTATTACGCACAGTCCTACCTCTCACAGCCTGTTGCACTTGAATTATAAACTTACCTTGGCACATATGGTACAATATCTGCTCACTCCCAAATTTCCCATGGGCCTTAGTATTTCCCTTCCATACAGACCTAGCTCATCTAGCCATC